CTGGGTTGCTGTTCAGGAGCTTAGATTAAATTACCATAAGAAGGACACCCTACAATCTACTATATACCCATATTCTGGTGACTTAGCTTCAGTTCCTCAACAGCAACCCAGTTCAGAGGTTGCTCTTTCGAAGATGCTGCGATTTTTCTGGATTAGTTCAGCGGGGTGAAAACCGTCCTTGAAGATAGACTCCCCTACAACTCGTGATCACTGCTGTACATATGGGCTATAGCGTAAACTCCTTAAAGGAGACTATATATGGGAGAATTCTAGGGCTTATCAAGGGGATGCTAGGAGTTTAGACTAGATCACACATCTCAACCTCAGACTCCGGAATCCAGAACCCAGGCCAACAAAGGTCCTTCCTGGCTTGGAGAGTAAGAATGATATAGACCCCATTAAGTAGATAGAACATGGGGTATATGGGGATCTTATTATAATATACCCAAAGCCATATTCTATCTACTTAAAGGGGACTATAACTTGCAGAAACAGCAAAACCTTGCCTGTACCTTCCAGATGCCTCCGCTGTCGTTGTCCAGGCGGCATTCCACTGCTGCCTCCGTGTGGAACATGTCCAGGTCAGATTGGTTGAGGTACACCACAGGGTTTGAACTCATGAGCAGCTTGTTGATGTAATCATTGTGCGGGTCTTCATGGAGGACCAGGTCATTGAGAGTCAAGCTGTTGTAGTTGGGCACCTGCTGCTTCCTCACCGAACAGAACTGTGCAGACACATGAGTCAAGAACTCGTAATCGTTCACTGCTGCCACACGCGAGACATTGTAGTAGCCATTGAGAGTGCAGAATAGGTCATGGTAGTCTCGCACCATCAATGTAGAGCCATCTGGAAGTACGACCTTTTTCTGCTCCTCAAGAGGAGCCAGGTTGTCGAAACGCTCAGCATATTCGTAGAAGTACTCCTGGGCTTTCAGGTTTATGGTGTAGGCATAGGGCTTTAGGGTTTAGGGTTTAAGGTTTCAGGATTTGAGAGCTCTTTCTGATCTACGGCAGCTGCGCCCGTCTCATGGGGCTCTAGAGTAGATCATGGAAGAACCTCAGGAGTCTGTTACAGATAGCTTCGACACCATTTGGGATAGCGTGTAGAAATTATGTATAAGGTCTCCAAATTGTGGGCCAGAACTCTAACCCTGAACCCTAAACCCTGAACCCTCAACCCTGTGAACCCTAAATCCGCAACCCTAAACCCTTGAACCCTCAACCCTAAACCTAAACCTAAAAAACGAACATCTATGACAGAATCCACGCTTCGAGGTTCGGATTCGAGATATTGAAGCTGTGGGTTAGAGATGTGTAGGCTTAGGGTTTGGGGTTTAGGGCTTAGGGGTTTAGGGTTTAGGGTTTGCGGTGGATCATTCGGGAATATTGGGAGTAGTGCCTATATGAGATCATGGTGATTATATTAGTAAGGTCCTCTTGTATTCCCATTCTGCCACTATTAGAAGGTGAGGGTCCACATAAAGCACTCCGGGAAGCCCTCCACTCAAAGGGACAGCACACTTTGTGGGGCCCTTTGGGGTTCCATGCCTCAGGCGTATGTTATGGATTCGGGTTTAACGTATCCAGGGAGTTCGGGAGGCCGTACAAAGCCCAAAATTCTCAACAGCTTGAGAGGTACATAGATGGTGTTATACAAAGCCCCCTCCTCATGCAGCGACTTTCGACGAGGCTACGGCTAGGATCTCACCCCTTCGTGTTTTAAGGAATATGAACCAAGGTGATTTTGGTTTCTGCAAAGTTGGGCTGCAAAAAATGACAGTACTTCCAATTCAGGAGGAGAAACTCTGTGGTGTAAGTAAGCCCTCGGCCCAGAGCCCCGTCAAGAGCATTGATTGGGAAAAAAACAAGTTCCTGTGATCTCTCTACCACCCCCTTAGGGCAGCGGCTTGCAAGTCCCATGTTCACATTTGGAAGCTCCCTCAACCTTACGCCTTAAGCTGCCCAAAACCCTGCAAGGTCTAAGCCCTGAACTAAGCCTTGAAATATGAAACTCAATCTACCCTTGACCCCAAGCCCTGAACTTCAGACAGTAAAGCCCTTATGGCACCATGGCTTTTGTACTCGTTCGTTTACCCAGAAGGGCGCGAACTATAGACATTTGCCAGGAACCTGACGAACCTCATCAAGACTCACCAAAAGACAAAGACCCTATCTTACTTACTGTCTACACTCCAGAAGGGGCCCAACCCTAAATCCTCAGGCCCATTAAATCCCGAAGATTAAATTCTTGAAGCCCAGGCCCGAAACCCTAACCCTGACCCCAAACCTCAAATCCCAACCCTGAACCCCAAACCCCAAACCCCAAACTTCAACCGCGAAACCCCGAACCCTAATCCTTTCCTTCAGGCAAACCGAGGCTCCGCAAAGCCACGCATGTACTTCTTGCGCCTTGCCAAGGCACAAGCCAGGCTCAAGTTGTCAGCCTGGGTGGTTTAGCTTGAGTACTCGACGGGTTTGGTTTTTAGGATTAAGCTCTAGGGTGTAAGGTTTACGGTTTAGGGTCTACTATACTACGGCCCCTAATTTTCAGGGTACCCCATAGAAAGGGACCATAGCTTTGAGGTGGGGATCATCACTTTGACCACCTGCCGTGCGATTGCCCCTGGAGGCATGCCTTTTCAAGGCGCTTCTGCTCAGCTGTAGTTGAGAGTTCCTGATGAAGAAGTTAATATAATCCCTATATAACCCCAATATTTTGATATAATCCCTATATAACCCCAAAATATAAGCTGCTAAGGTTGACCTCTGGTTAGGGTTTAGGGGTTTAGGGTTTAGGGGTTTGGGGTTTAAGGTGTAGGCTTTAGGTTTGCTAGTGAACTTCATTTTGCGAAAAAGCCTTGGGATTATACTGGTGTTATATTGGGGTTGTATTGGGATAATGGGAAAGAAGATGGAAACTACGA